GCACAAAATGGTGGTTGGCGATGATGTCACCAGAAGAACTAAGGCCAAGTGTGCACGTGACTAAATGAGGCGTGGGTGAAATGGCGCATGACCCTTATCCTACTGTTTATTATTGCTCAGTCTGGGGGAGTGTAGCCCAGCAGGTGGGCGGGACCGGCAGCGGGTGGGAGAGCCTCCTGCAGCCTGCGCCTGCAAACAGCGGCGGCCATAAGGGGGGGGGGGGGGGGGGACTCGAGGGGAAAATGGCCGCCGGAGACGGCGAGCTGTCGCGCCGGCCGGGCTGGCCGGCAGCGTGCCGACCGCAGGTCTCCGGGAAAACCGTCGGCGATCTGCCGATCGAGTGCTGGAAACTGATGCCCTTCTGTGTTGTAGGACGTGAATGGAACTCCTTTGTTCGGTGTTCACGGAAAATGCCAGCAGTTATGCTCAGCTCGCCCTGCCAGGGTCATCTTGACGAGAAAAAAAACTGATTGTTTCGGATGGTGCGATGTGCTGTGTCTGGGATATCCACGAGGATATCTGACAACCGATTAGCACAGTGCAGTGTTCCAGTAAAGAGGGCATTTTGCATGAATCTCAAGGGAAGAGTGGGTTGGAGACGGCATGAATGTAATACCGGACAGCATGGTACCGAAAAAAAAACTACATTTGAGATACGACCTCAACTGACACTAGTTTCGGTTCCCCTTGACGTATCGTATAAGAGGATCTCCGACATCCGCTGTTTTTCGTGATGTGGGAGAACGCCTTCACTAGGTTCAACCCTTGTCTTACGCGATAGCCTCAGAGGGCCTCTGAGGGTTGCTCGATATCTTCTTGGCGATAATTATCGCGTTGCTAAGATTTGGGACACTAATTTTACGATATTTTATGCATCTTGTGAAATGCTAAGCCTCTGGCTCTGATGGTACGCTTATTTGTCGCAAAAAAATCAATTTTAGGGAGGTTTTCTAGATGCTTCTTTCTGACTGGTGTGCATTACCATCGTTCGGGTTATTTTTGCAAGGTTAAGTATTAAAAAGCCAAGCTATGTCAAACTCTTACCTTTGTGACCAGTTTTGCTCTTCGCAGGCTTACCTTTGCTCACCTTGATGACACATTTCACAGCTTTGGAAGGGCTTTTTAACGTTGGTGTCTCCATTCACGTGGATTGTTTAGTTTTTTATATAGCCGGGCGGACCGATGCAACAATAGCCGTTATTCCTTTGACGTGTCATGAAATATCACAGGTCCTGCCTGTCGATATCTATAATGCCCATCCCATGGAGGTTTCTAAGAGCTATTTAACGTTGTTTTCTGCTTTGCCGTAGCCTAGCTGATTTTGGAGATAACAGGGGTCGATAAAGAATCAATGTGAACACTGTGACCGGATTTAATATCTCAAAGGTCACGCTCATCGTTGTTCAATCACACATATCTGGTGCACTTTGGTGAGAACTTTTCAAATTTGTTTTGCGCGTGGCCTTAGCTTTCTCACATTTCAATGTCTTCAATGGCGGACTCTGAGTCTCTCTCCACCGTTTGCCTGTTCTCTGTTGCCTGTTGAACAAATGCTTAAAATGTCTGTTGAACCAGGGTTAAGTAGCGTTTTGCTTTTCATGTAGAAGGTGTCAATGCATGATTGTCAGTCAACAGCTGCTTCTCACGTGGGCGTGTAATGTGCTTGAACCTTGCTTTGGGAGAGAAGAGGTGCGTGTTTATCCCAAACTTATGACAATGCAAGATCAAGCGGCAGCTTGGGACGTTACGAGGTGTTATGTTGTGTAGGACAGGTGACGAAATAGAGACAAGCTCAAAACTCGTCCAACAAATCAGTGCAGCACAACAAAGAAAAAATCGATTCATAGCGTGTGCAGGTGAGGGAGGTGACCCGTAAACTAAGGTTGTATAATATGTCTGCGGTGTACATGTTGCGAAAAGCTGGAACACGTACTGAACACCCACGAGCCGACCTGCAGTCTTCACGCAGTGCAGTCTGCTCAGGGCTCAATCGTAACCAAACACAGATGGTACGTGCGGGAGTTGCTGCTTATCACTTGCTCCCCTGGGAAAATTGTCCCGAGTCGGAATAGCTGTGTCCCATACAATTTTAGTGTTCTGTTAAGTCCAGTTTTAAGCCACCTTTAAGCTGCAGCCAAATGTTTTATTTCGCAACAAAAATATACTGGCTGGCATTGGGGGTTTTCTTTAACATTCTATCCATACCAAAGAAATAAATTTGAAACGGAGACTGGCTGAATTCGAGATAAACATTTGCACTATGCTGGTATTATTGTACAATCTTTATCCTTCCATACACGAAGCCTCAGCATTTCACACACACACACACACAACACACACACACACACACACACACACACACACACCACACACACACACACACGCACGCACGCACGCACGCACGCACGCACGCACGCACGCACGCACGCACGCACGCCGCACGCGGCGCGCGCGCACACACACACACACACACACACACACACACACACACACACACCACCCCGCACGCACGCACGCACGCACGCACGCACGCACGCACGCCACGCACGCACGCACGCACGCACGCACACACACACACACACACAACACACACACACACACACACACACACCACACACACAACACATATATATATATGTAATATTTATATGTATAGATTATATATATATATATATATATATATCTATATATATATATATATATATATATATATATACACTACGCAACCCTGAGAATGTGCGTTTTTATTCAACTACACGGTACACTGTTGACTTCAGTTTTCGTTCGAATGAAATGCCAAAGTCGCAACATTACTATACGGATAATGCCCTCTTCAAGTGAGTTTGTGTGTTGGGTAAATTTCGAAACTTAAACTCACCTGAAGATGGCATGTCAGCAGAATTTTGCAGTTGAAGCGCTCCTGAAATCAAATATCATAGTGAATTTGATGAACAGCATGAGGTGAGCATTAAAACCTTCCATAGCTAGTTCATTGCAGATGCGGCCTAACAGGCTGACAACTGACAATTGCAATCGGTGCGGTCAGTCGTGCAGTTCAGCTCTGTGGTTCGTTGGCGAGGCTCGTTGGTGATTCTGTGGTTCGTTCGTCTCCTTCCGATCCAGTCGTCTAGCCACGTAGGCCAAACTATTTCATCGCTTCCCCATTCGTAACGCGTGACGTGGCCGCAGCTCTGCAGTGCACAGCGCACGAGCACTCTTACCTTGGGGGTTCGCACGAGCACTCTTACCTTGGGGGTTCGCACGAGCACTTACCTTGGGGTTCGCACGAGCACTCTTACCTTGGGGGTTCGCACGAGCACTCTTACCTGCACGACAGCTACAGTGGCAGTCGACGACACTTGGGTTCCCATACCATGCATCTTTCGTGCTTTCGAACTCGGTGCATTATCAACATACCGCTTCACCGATGAAAGCAGGCGGCCACATAGACGGGCGTATCGATTGGACAGTGTGCGAGTCGTGCGATGTTTCATATTGCAATTCAGTTTTCATGTTACGACACTCCGTAGGAGCATCCGCTCTGCAAAGTGGATGATGGATACAAGCAGATGGTGGCTGGCAACACCGCTGAGAATGTTACTCAGGACATTAGACGTCCGCCGAAACCCAATCCAGAAACCGTGATTAACTTTTGGCCACGAGCTCCAGCAAATTGCGTGGCGTGCCACTGGGGGCTGCTGTCGCCGACAACGGCCTCCGCCCGAGGTGGAGCGCCTGCCGCCCAGGTGGCGGTGACAGTGCACAACGCCGGCGCCCGGGGGCCGAGCCGGTGGGGTGCGCCCACCGCAGCGGCCAGGGCCACGCCGACCAGCTCCGAGCCTCGAACAATGGCCGACGGCGCCCGAGGCACCCATGCCTGCGGCTCGTGATTAGGTACTTAGATGGACCTCACCAGCTCAGCACGGATACAGGGCAGGTTATTCTGATTGGTCAAGCTATGATTTTTCTGGGTGAGATTGCTTCAAGTTTAAAAGGAATG